ATGAGCGAGAGTGTAAAGTGGTTTTTGTGGCCGGTGAATTTGCTTGGAGTGTCAATTATATCTATCTTGTTTCTTTCACATCCACATACCGTTTCTGTGGGTGATGTGTAGTTTGTGTTACAAACGAACTGAGACTCCCCATCGGTTTATAGTAAATTTACGGCATCTAAGCCTATTGCATGGGTGAGTTCGCTTATTAACAAGTCTCCAGTCCATGCTTATGTTGCGTGTTGAATTTTGACATCTGTGAGTACCAGTTTGTGTAGTTCCAGTTTTGTGTCAGTGTCCTAAGAACTGGTCCTGTATGGCGTGGGTCGTACATTACTTGTGGTAATCCAAGGAAATCATTAACCCCTTGCTAACGTCCTTAACGGAAGGATTAATGTCCCTGGTTCTTAAGGGACGAGGAGATTAAGTGACCGAGTATTTGTTCTAATGCTCGCAATGCTAGATGATAACATGTTGCAATTCATATATCCCTAGTAAATGGGACATGACCAGTCACATGAGTCATAGGCTTGTTATTCCGTGGCGCGGGTTTAGGTCTCTCGACAGTTCACATTTGTATTGAAGCCTTTCTAACAATAAAGTGATTTCCACCACAATGTGATAAAATGTGCATAAAAATCACTCTGTTTTCAGCCCTTATTGAGCTTAAATTATAGGGATTTCTGACATAATGATTATCTCTAGAGAGGCTTTTGGCCATACCTCTACCGGAATGGATTGCCTTGGGAGCGTTGTCCTCTGGTTCTTCTAAGTTAATTACAGGACTCGCATCAAGGTCTACAGAGGGGGTGTTTTCCAGATGATGTTGATGGATTACTACAAGTTCTTGTTATCAAACGATCTCTAAGCACATCCGATTTTCTTCTAAATTGTAGATGGAGAGACCAAATTTTTTTAAATGCTTCCTTTGTTGATATGGTGTTTGTTCCATCCTGAATAATAGTAATTCCTTTAGAATTAAAATTAGCTCTAGCGCTGTTTTAGAGTTTGGTAAACCTTTCGGTGTCAAACGGTGCTAAGAATTTAAAGCTTACTAGGTAACTGAGTTTCGAAAGTTTCTTCTTTAAGCGTTTACAACTACACAGTAGATTTCTCATGCCGTGGGCTCATAGTATCTTACTTTTAACAGCTTCAAAATGCAAGCGGTCAGGTACATTGCATACTGTGGCTTGCTGAGATGATGCCAGTCGTTTCATTACCTCAGTTGCCAAGAGATCCACTGAATTTTCTGCTATTTGCATGTGACGGCTGGACACGGTGCTTGTTTGAATAAATAAGTAATTTAGTGACTAGAACTTCTCAGACGTCTTTTTGGAATATCATCTAAAATAATATTGATCTTAATGATGTTATTGCGGTTTCTTTCAAGTTTTACATCCATTCATGAGATAAAGCCCGAGGCTGTTATCATCGTTATGTGGAAAGTAATTTTTCCATCTTCTGAACTGCGATATCAGGTATCCATCTCATTAATTTTTGGACGGGTGTCGAAGCACTTGTTCTTTAATTTTCACTAGGACGATCTATTTTCGAATAACTGGCTCTATTTCTTCCCATAAACAAGGTATGGATTTGGCTTTTGTGTAGTACTTTTAACAACAGGTTATCCTAATCGGAAAACTGAATGGTTTCGCTGACCAAATGTGGTAAATATATAGCGCCACATTTTAGTTAGTAATGGATATCACAACACGCAATGAACCGATTCAGGGTAAATGACAAAGATCAAAAGCAAAAGTAACTCAGGTTACGAATGTACTGCTGAATATATGAAAATACACCTAACTAAGGATAGGATACGCCTCCAACTGTGAACTAATCTTATTACCCCAACCGCCTCATTAAGGAGACTGAAACTGTGAATAGCGGACAGGGCGGCAGTGATCTGATAGGTTAAAATGAAAACAAGCCTGGAAATATTCTTTATAGTGTAGACATTGATAGTAGATGGTCTACAGACAATACAACAACTGGTCATACTGTACCTATGGATATTAGCCGTAGCATACCCAGCAAATAGCATTCTACCACCACCAGAAATTCCTTGTTGATGTCAAATTGCAGAACCCTAACTCTAATAATAAGACTATTACGGGTACGAAATTCCCACCACGCAACGCCAATCAAATCACTGACAATGCAATATTTTAACGTGACTTAAGCCTGCAGTGGGATATATCCGATCATACTGCTAAAGTAGAAAACTGCCGCATCTATCTAGCTATTTGATGAAGCTGCCCAAGCATGAACACATGGACACTGCTTCAGTGGCTCGTAACATTTGCCTAAATATACCTGTGCTCAACCTCTAGTAACTATTCAAAAGCAGTAACCCTGATAAATCTCATTTGACTCTAAAGATCAATATACCAATCAAACGCATAACATACTGTGGTTTATTACATAATAATCTAAATCAGGAGGGGGTTCTTTTGCTTAGTATTTCCACACTCACAGCGAAAAACATTCAGTCGGAAAGACTATGTAACAGTCAAACTCGTTTATCTAATTTCTCGTATGAAAGCCTCAATGTATTTACGTTTTACAGGCTTGCGCATAACACCTCTAGGGACTGGTAAACCCTTAAAAGCACCTGCATCGCCAAAATGAATAAAAAAAGGATAAAGGAACACTCTTCTAGCTGCTGCAGCAATTCACCCAAGGTAGTTGACGTAGTTTAAACATTACATATTACGAAATACTCTATCTTATTGATAAATATGCTTTAGAAGATAAGCAAAATCGAAATCTGTTGCAAAGTTATGACGACCAATCATCTAACTAAAATCGTTAATGGAAATGTGAGAATATCAACTTTTTCGTATAATTAACTGCATATATGATTTTTCAAATGATAAAAGAAATCTTGCTATCATGGTTGCTATAAGTTAACGAACTATATTATTACCCGCTATAGAAATCAAACAATCTTAACTAATGTCCATTTGAATGCATCTAAGGTAAAGTTATTATGTAGTGGTACTGTCTCTACAGCATTACACCCAACCGTTTAGGTCATTCTTAACAAAAAATAATTTATTCTGTGTATAGATGATCTCATTCGAAGTTGAGTATTGCTGATTTTGATTCCACGCAGATATTTACCTCTAACGCAAAGACGAGTAAATTTAGGCCTTGTCTTTGTGGAGAGAAATAACTCCACAGAATCCGTTGACTGGGGTTCGACGAGATTCAACATTGATGCTGACCCTCATCGTTCTAACGGACTCGCTAAGCTGGAAGCACACAACCAAGCCTCGGCGCCATTCGGCACGTCGCTATGTTTTGCTGCTCGTACCCAATCCTCTAGCCAACTAGTTGGAACGCATTGATATTTTGGAATGGTCTATCAAATATGTTATTCTACCTGGCTACTCTGTTGTGTTCTTTTTTGATCTCGCACTCGTGGGTATATTACAAGTACAAATAATAAGTGATTGACCTATGCGTCTGTCAAGTACTCGTAAGATCAATTTTTAAATGTTTATAAATTTTTAACCTGTTTATTAATGTACAAAATTACAGTGGTTTCGTTCTACAAGTTCTGAGTTTTACTTCAGTTATCCTTAGAAGTCCCTTATTTGTAAAAAATGTGTTATTGTGAGATCTATTATATTCATGGTATATTATCCGGTCGTTATTATTTGAATAGCCATCAGTCAGTCTATAGATGATACAAACATTGGAATAAAATGATATGATTTTATTCTACATATCTAGTCAATCTTAAAAGGAAAAAATAGTAGGCTATTAGCTTGTGTTAATCTGTGAAATAGTCACCTCTATAAAGAACTCGTTTTTCCTTAAATTTGTTCACCAAAAGAGCTATTATCATTTGCCCCGATAACGAGATTCAGTCATTGATCATCCCATGAAAGAAACGGTACTCCACTCAAAAACGTTTCAACCGTGGTTTTCAGGCCCTCATCTCAGTCTTTGAAGTAATTGACCCTAGAGGCCTTAAACAGATTATATAAATCAACATCTGAGTACTAAAGGCCAGAATTAAATCAGTTGTTTTCTTAAAGTAAGACAAGGGAAAAAGGTTCAGTTTTGCTAATTACTCTCTATAATGAAGGTGAGCAGGACATGTCACCAGTTCAGTGACAACTCTTTGAATCCAATTCTAATTTATCAGCTCACCTTTAAAAACATGGAGTAACCTTCTGGATAAAATACTCTAAATGACACCTTAGATAAAGGGGTGTCGAACTCTAAACATATCTTCAACAAAGTATTTAAACTCTTACAAAGCGACCAGAGCATGTGAAACGCTTTGCCTGCAGAAAAATTACAATTTGCAGTTGTTTTTAGGTTGTGGTTTGTGATAACCTTTAGTCCTTTGGCTCTAGAACCCGATGTTTTGGTATATCATCAACTGAGTATCCAGAAAAGTAGTCACTCGCATTGTGCATTATTGTACTGTTTCTTTCATTCTTCTTCAATGTACTTAAATTTATCAAGGGATGCAGAATGATAATATTTGGTAAATAGTTAACAAAATATTTGGAAAGTCACATCTGTAATTAGTATCTGGCGTTATCGCCTTCAGACTTTGTTCTTAAGTTCCAAATGATATTCAGAATAATCCCATTTTGGTCATCGAGATATTTCGTCAGTTGATTCCTGAGAGCCAACTATTTATTATACTGAACATAGGAAAGGCATATTTTTGAAGCGACCCAAAAATTGTCATAACAACAGAATTAAGAAATACTTAGATTTATTTTTACAGAAGCTTATGCAAATGTCTTTTATGACAGATCATTCATAGATTCGAATGTAATTCGTTTCAAAATACATTATTTTGTTGAACCCACAGTAATCTGCTGCTCTGCATATGATATTGTTTACTGTGCATCAGGAATATTAGTTATTCTTATGCTTATGAGCAGATAGATACTTTCTAATGTCCACAAATATGAGTATTCGTTTCGTTCGTCTAGCCTTAATTGTCCATCGATCAAATGAACAGAAGACAAATATTTAAACAAGAATCGATTAAAAAGTTAGAAAGTTAAGGATGAATTGCTTACGAGTAAAAAGGGCTAAAACACTTCAAGATGTACATGAGTATCAGGTATACAAAAACTTTTGTCGTCAGACTCAGCATACACGATCATCACCATCACCACCAGCGCAAGCATATACTACAGAGCCCTGGGTCCAGACATCGATCTCTACCACATTATCTACACCTTCATGTGGATCATTAAAAAAACAGCAGAACAGTTTATTAAATAAAGCAAATTCGATTTTGAATTCCCTCAGAAAATGCAAATTTCATGAGAAGTCTGCCAAACTGCAAACAGAAAATATGTATAAAAGATCAAAAATTTTAATGACAAAAACTAGACATCATTTTCTTCAGCGACAAAGCCATACACTTTTGATACAATATGGACTTCCTGTTAACAAAAGCCGTTTGCTGAAGTACTGGTAGCATGTTAATAATTTCATACGTTTTTCAAAGATGAACTGGTAAACAGTTGCAAGAAACTTTTAAATTAGTTGAATAAACAAAATTTACGTTCTTTTTGTGTTTATTTCAAAGCTGATTTCTACTTAATAACTAGTGGATTAGTTAAAGAGTGGGTCTGTTGCCTGATTGTGTAAATGGATTACAGTTCACCTATGCTTTTAATGCATTCAAATTTGCAAGCAGTTTCATCAAAACTGAATGGATATTAAACCTTATCCAATCAAAGAAAACTAGTGAAATACTGAACATTATATATATATATATATATATATATATATATATATATATATATATATATATATATATATATATATATTGAAAACTTTGTAAGAAAATATTTTTGGTTTAACTAGCCTACCTATTCTTGTTTAAGTGGACTGTAACAAAATAAAATATAGTTACTGTACGTGAAATGGAACTCAGGTAGTGATCGCTAGTTCGAATCCTATCTCTGTCTAAGCTTTCTTCCACTTGCAGTTATCGTCACATTAGAAAAGAGTGGAAATGTGACTAATTTTCAGTCTTCGAATAGAAAAACAGTGATTACATAAAATGATAATTCGCCTTAAACGACAGTTATCAAGAAAGCATTCCGTAAACCAGAGATTCATTTTCAAATTGCTCTTTTTTTGTTTTAAAAAATAATAAATTGATAGGCAAATGTGTTCGAGGAATATTTATGTTTTAAATGTGTTCAAGATGAACTAATAAACTTCAGTGACTATTAATAAGCATTCCGTTAAGAAATATAACCTTGTAACATTACCATCTGTGAAAATGGCGTGTAGCTGTTAAATTTGGTTTGGTAATAATACTGCAGTGGCTGATTTACTAGAACTACTTTTAAGACTACTCAGAAATATATCATTTTGATGAGTGACTCTAAAGGCCTCCCTAACAAACACCAAAATCATAAAGTGAGTTTGTTTACTGAAAAATTGTATTTGTAGATACCAAATTAAATTTTTGGAGATAAATAAAACAGTGAATAGTTGATAGGAATATAGTGTTGCAATATTTTATTTTTCGTGACAGAGACAAGGATATGAAATTGATCAATAAGAATACCTAGACATTTCAGTCATGATGTCCGGTAATAGGTTTCCGATATTATTAGGTCTTTTGAGTCTTCGTATGTATTCTGTATAACTGTAGGCAATAAATATCATGTCGAAAAAGACTACGCCTTGGCCTACACAATGCACATTTCAGCATTCTTGTTTCATTTGTGTTCACTATTTCAATAAGTGGTTGAATTTTAGAAAATGAAATGTTAAACTACTGCGGAGACATTGACCAATGCAAGAAATGAAATCAGTTCCTTTTGCTAAAATTAACATTAGAAAGACCAGATTACTGTTAAAAGTGTGAACAAACATTCAAGAATAGTTTTCAGCTTCCTGTCAACCTAACGAATAGGAAATAAAAATTCAAGACTAGCGGGAATTTCCATTCAGTTTCACTATGGAAGATAAAATAGAGTTTCGATCAGACGTTAATGAAATATAGTAGCTCTTTTATTGAGAAACCAATCTTTTGTCGAATCTTGAGTGATATCTAAAATTCTACCAAGCTAGGAGGCTTACTTACCATCATGGTGCACTTTAATTGATGTTCTGGACCTAAGTTTCGTGCTTGTGGACACTATTCAGATCTCTATGGAGGTATATTTTAGTTTAAGCCACCAAGTAAAGCATGGAGCATAGTAATGTCCATTGACTGGTCACTGGAGGGCAGCCAATGTAATGTGGTCTAGTCTTGAGTCCTGACCGAATTCTATCAATCGTTTTACAGTGGGGTCATAAAGCTAGGAGGCTCGTGGTGCACTTTGATGGGTGTTAGTTAGTTGAAGACAATCAACAGGAAGTTCCGGACTTCAGTTTCACGCTTCTGCTCACTCGTCAGTAACGCGTATCTGCAACCTTGTGGAAAGTTATGTTCCCCATGATACTCGAACCAGCGTTACCCGTTTTTGCAGGCAGCGATATTACCATTGAGGGATTGGGGCCCCAACTCAGGACTAGACAACATAAGATTGGTTGCTATGTATGTATGCAGTCCAGTCTTTCAGTTGAGAAAGTATTTTACACTTATTCAGTAAGATGGCTGTGGCAAATTCCACTCATGTTTAATTATTAACTACGTAAGGATCCAATAATGATTGAAGTGGTAGCAAGGCACAGAACAACCACAGGTCCTATTTTTCAGTTACTGACTTTCCATGATCCGTAGCATTGACAGTTGATGTTAGAATTCTAGTAATCATTAATTTTGGACTATAATTATTGCAGTTTGAGGTTACTAGACGTATCAGTCAACATTTTCTCGAGGAAACGCGGGGACATTTTCAGAACAGCGGAAAGATCAAAGAAACTCAGAGCATTTTGCGGGAAAACATGGGGCACGTGGGGAAAAACAGGAGAAAATTCGAGCGGAAACGTGGGGTAGAACATGGGGGCGAAAAATCTCGGAGCAAAATAGCGCGTTTCACCCGTGTTTTGGTCTTAGTTCTGCCGCGAGTTTGCAATTCGCAACACACCCTCTTGTTTTGCCTCACGTAAATGTTGACTAGGGTGGTGCAAATGGGCATACGGTTTACTGTTTAATATCCACAATTGCTTGCTCCTTCATTTCTCACTTGCCGTTGGTTAATTCTTTCTGTGTTGTCTTAGCCTGGCAACATGAACAGATTTAATATCATCTCATTTTACCCAGTCTTTTCCCCACTCATATCTTGAGACAAAGTAAGACGGAGAAACGGAATATCAATGGGAGCTATTCCATAAGCCGTACACTACACTGTCTCTCAACAAAGTTTACACTGAAACACCTCATGGCCAAAGTTTTTTATTCAAGATTTAGACATAAAAAAGTACATTCTTTTCTTTACAGCCTAGTTGTAGGTGAAATCAGAATTCAAATTCAGGAGTTTGTTTATTCAGAGGTTACTGTAACACAATAGTCAATAGGACTTTTAGGAAATCAGTAATAGTGAAAATAGACACTTGTGAAATGCGTTAATTACAAACTTAAATTTCTTAACACATACAAATGTTTATCTGTGTGTACCTGGCAGTGATTTGACCTAAATTATGAGCCTGTCATATCTTTCTTAGCACCTTCATACATCTCGATAATGCACTATAGTGTGACACAAGTTTGATGATGAAGTCAGTGGTGTTTCTTATTACAGTGAAACTAGTGAAATCAAGTTAGCATTGTTGTATGCGACAATAACTTCTTTTATGATACACAGGATCTTGCAGTATGTATACTCACAGCCACCTAGTAAAGTAAGTTGTCTTCAAAACAACAGTTTAGGTGAATGCGAAAGCGGCCTGCATCTTAAGTAAGTGATAGTGAAGCTTCAGCTGAAAACCGTCAAAGTATGAATAGGTGGTTCAACCTCTTCTAGTACTCTTCAACAGTAAACTGTCATAAGTCATATCCTTGTCGAATTCAATCTGTATGACGGCAATTTCAGTCGATATATAACGAAAGTCATTTGTGATATAATTCTGTCTTAGGTATCTCTTGTTATGAAATTATTCTTCTGTGACCTAAATTGAAGTCTTAACCATAGAAGGCTGAGAAAGACTTATGACCCAAATTTAGATGAAAGTGTTACCGGAAGCAAAAATCAAATAGCTTACTAAGAGTATCCAAAGGCTGTGTCAGAAAAACTAGGGCTATTATCAAGAGAATAGTTATCACATAAATACTTTATGAATGAATAAAACAGTGAAATTTACATCTGCAAAAGTGAACCTCAAATCACATGCAAGAATATTATGCTTGACTGTACCGCACAATTATTGCAACACCACGCAACTTGAATCGATATTCTTGATTCATTTTGAGCACCAAATCATGAAATGCTATCATTTGAACCAATACAATGATGTTTTCTGAAGTGGCTGATAGAATAATACGAGATACCAGAACGCTATTAACGCAATGACATACTTGGATTGAATACGAATGGCTACTGTTCTTCAGATCTGATACTTCACTGAGCCGTGAAAATCAGAAGATAAAGACCGACCTGTGACTGTAAAAAAGACGACTTTATTTGACAACAAGCAGACCATTTATATACAGTTATTCCTCAGGCAATAAAGCTACTAAGTCAGAAGCTAGATACTTATTTTCATTGGTCAGCTGAGGGACAAAATTGTTCAATTAGGCTTTGCTGCCTACTAAGTAACATGAAACCAAGGTTGAAGTTCAAAACTATCTGGCGGCTGATGACCCAGAGTGCTGGTTTTTATTTGGGCTGCTTCATATCATTTTCAGATTATACTTTAGAAGGTAAAATTAGAGCAGATCATCAGTGAAATGCATCACAATGCGTCGCTTACAGCACCTGGTGTAATGCTGATAAATGTCACACAGATTCACAAAAGGAACTCTCATCTTTGATTCATCATTATTTATTTGGCTAGAATTCGAAAACATCAATTAAATAACAAGAACTGTAGGGTTGTTTTTAATAAAATGACTGGCTTCATGCTGCTCAAGTAGTCTTAGATCAACTCCTGAGAATTCGCTTTCATTGTTAGCTCAATATATGAGTAATTTCAATAACTAATAGATATTCCAATATTTCAATTCCATGGAAAATTACAGAATCTATTTTGGATATTTGAAAGGAAATTTTTCATCTTAATAAGAACATTTTTGGAAAAAATGACCGAAAAATTATTAAACAGATCTAAACAGAAGTGCAGTACATCGAGTTAATACTTTACAATAGTACACACAGCAAATCAAAAAATGTAGGAGGATTTTAAAATGGCCAAGTAGGATGTCAAAAAACAGACAGCAGATGATGAAGGTTTGTTGAGATTTTTTAGATTTTGAAGATGATCAAAGTAAATTCATGTGTCATTGTCGTCGAATTTAAGTCATTTAATCTACAAAGTTTAACGAGTAGTTCTTGATAGCCAAAACCTTAACCAGGTAACATAAATCTTCACATATGGTATATTTCAACTGTTGGTAACTTTATAGGTCTACCCAATACATCTTTGAAGCCAAATTTAGTTTCTATGAATCCTATCTCACGTTGGATAAAATAGCACGTGCAATTAGATTACAGTTAGGTATACATAACACATGTTAAAACAACTCGGGTTAGCCGAGCGTGAAAACTTGTTTACCTAGTACATAACACCTGACTTCTACACTGCTTACTCTGTGGTACTCTCAAATACTAAAAATGCTACAAAAATTCCTTCTTTG